ATATATTGAATTTGCATATAGTTTAACTTTTATAATAACCCATTCTACATATAGTTTAGCTAATCCTACATAAAAAACAATTGAACCCACCACTCATGCAGTTGGTTGCAACAAGATGCATTATTTCATTTTATTCTACTTATTTTATTATTGCGTTCTGATTTATTGTAAGCCACAGTTTTGATGGATACATAAAAAATAAAAAATAAAAATGCAACTTATATTATGCATGTTTTTTTTTTTCAACGAATGTTATTTTAATGTGATCAAATTTATAATTTAAAATCTTAAATGCATCTTAATTACAAAATCATCCGGAAAACAATACATGTTTATGGTAAAAATGTATTTGAAGTTGCAAGCTATAAACTTTTGTAAACTTTAAGTTGCGTTTAAGCAAAATACTTGATATTATAAGGCAGAACATTAAAGAGTTAGAGCAAAATTTTCCCCATAAAAGTGTTCAACTTGTTTCAATTTGATGATTTTATACTAATCCACGCTTGTACAGAATCAACTATTGATTATGCTAACAACAGTTTGGCTATGGAAATTGTACAATACAGTTTAATTTTAGTTAACAATTTGACCTCTACAGTTTTAGTTAATTTAATTTAGATCTTTGAATCCAAAATAACCTATAGAAAACTTACATCAAGCTCATATATTTTCTTTTGCTGTTTTAGTAGTAGTAATCAATAGAGTTTTTTTCAAAATCTAAATCCATTACAATAACGTGTACTAGTGTGGTTTGAATTAATTGTACACAATATCAATATATAGAATATTTGACGTACGTCTTCTCTAAGTAAACAGTTACGTACTGATGCAATTAATTTGATCAACACAATTTGCATTATTTGCACGGAAAAAAGAATTTTAATCTAAAAGTTATCTATGGAAGGAAGATTTTTTTTTTTTTAATTAACCAACAGTTCCAAAACTTGGTACAACTCCGCTTAGTTAAATTAGTCGAGCTATTCATCGAGGCTCACTGAGGCTCGAAAAAAAAAATATTTATTTAATTTTCTATTGTTTTGATTGTTAAAATTTGAACTCGACTAGTTAAAACTCAAGTTTGACTTGATTGAGAAAAAATAAGTCAAAGCTCAACCTTATTTATCAACTCATGTATTTCACGAGTCGAGCTCGATTAGACTCCACAAGAGCTCCAACTTGAATATCGAAGCTCGAGTTCGACTCTCGACTTATTTACACCTTATTTTAAATATTTTTTTAATTGGCAGATATTAAAGAGTAAAGTCCAGAAGACAGCAAAAGGAATTCCACTGCGTTATGTCACACGGCTACGTTTTTTCACAATAATAAATCGGAACCTTCTGGAGTTTTATTTGGTCCATTCAATTTGGGTGCGTCTAAAATTCTTGAAATCATTGTTAGTTTGAACCCAACAATACAAAATTCCTATCTTATCAAGATAATAATTTATTGCTAACAGTAAAAGAAGGAAATTGATTATGGAGCCCACCTGAGCTTATTATGGATTTGGTCATTATACTATATTATTACTGTATTTTAGAATATGTTGATAAACATATTTTATGATATGGCGTCCTATACAGTTTGATTTGATTCAAAGGAAATGGTTGGACCCAATCTAAAGAGTGAGATCAACGGTTGACGGCCCTTTGGCAAAATAAGAATCGATTTGCCTTAATATTCCTCAATTCTATTTTTTAATATTTTATCTTTCTTTTCTCTATTCGTTTACTTTTTTGTTTAGGATTTTTGGCATTTACGTACGCTTGTTTACCGTACTTTGAGATATTCAAAATTCCATATGCAGTTTTTTTATTACTTTTTTTGCTAGAAGCATGCTTGTTTCTACGTTTTATTGTCTTATGTTAAAATATTTATTTATATTATTCAATATCAGAAATTATTTTTCTTGTTCTTCAAAATATAACATTTATTACTAAAAATGTATATTTCTTACTATAATATATAGCAAAACATGAGGTTTTGTGTTAGACGGACCTAACTATTAAGACCACACTCTTTTTACAAGTATATATATTTGAATTAGAAAATATTATATTTTAAAAAATATTATAAATAGAAGTATAATAAATTACAATATTTTGAAGTAAATATAATTTTTTATTCATAAATTTTGGTAGATCAATCCGCCTAATAGTCAAATATACTGCCTCTACAATCAAATTGACTTCGTGTGCTGTTCACTGCCACGTGGCGTTGCCTCCGTCTCCAGTCCCTTCTCTCTTTCTCTCTCTCATAACGACTCTGCAAAAGATTAAAAAAAACACCGCATTTCAGTAGTGATATATATAAAATCTCAAAGGTACGATTGGCCTTCATCCCTTTCTCTACCCACGCGCAGACTCAGCCATGGCTGCCCTTTAAATCCTTTGGTGTCAGTATAAATACGCGTCCGCCTGTTGTACGATAAAGCGTTTTCTTGAACAATTTCGCAGAGTATACCCTTTTTCAGTACTTTTCTTCTGAAGGCAAAAACGAGATAAAGATTGGATTTTTTTTCTTCCTTTTCTTCTATGCTAACCTCAGTGCCTTCTTTTTTCGCTTTGATAACCGAGATTTTGTTGTTAAATTTGTTAAATTTCGACTTATTAAACCCCAATTTTAGATTTTCAGGGCCACAACTCACAAATTTTGGTCTTTTCTGAAGGTTGAAGGGAGAGTGAGTGAGATATGAGGGGAGCAGAGGGTTTGGACTCAAGCTTTGAGAAGCTGGTGGTTTTCGGTGGTGTGGAGGTTGTGAATCGAGCTGATAACGGCGGCGGCGGTGAAATCGGAGGGCTGAAGATAAGCGAGTGGAAAGATATTCCGGTGGAGCTGCTGCTGAGAATTTTGTCACTTGTGGATGATCGGACGGTGGTCGTGGCATCTGGGGTTTGCCATGGATGGAGGGACGCCATTTCTTGGGGGCTTATTCATCTTTCTCTCTCTTGGTATCCACATGCTTCTATCTCCCTTGTTATTGTTATTATGCAAAAGGAAATTATATTGTTATATAATAATTATGGATTGCTTCTTGATGCTTTGATGTTGTTAAAATGTTCTTGAGCTATTAAACCATAAATTCTAGGCAATCTGTTTTATATGTGGCCTTGCTGTTTGTGGATTGAGGTAAATTGGATGATTATTTTCTCAGTCTATTAGAGATAAATGGCTACTTGCGGAGTTTGATCGTTTCAACTGTGTTTGCTTGTGAGTTGTGATGCTATTTTAGTCTATTTTCTGAAGTTCCTTGGTTTTACTTATCGGCCAACCGATAAGTTCTTTCTGTCGGATGATAAAAGTAAAAGAGTGTGATTATGATTGATTGTTCTGTTTGATAGGAGCTGCTGGGACCGATTAGTTTTTATTGTTGCTCAAAAATTCGTAAAGGTAATATTCTTACAACTATCCGATGTCGTTGTTGCATTTTTTTTGTTTGTTAAATGGAGTTCCAATATGGAAATTGCATATTCTTCTGCTGGTGTTTTGATGAGCTGTATTTGAGTAGAAAAGGTTGTTATTAGTTATTACGCCGAGATCTTGTGTGTGTGAACATTTATTCGCGAACTTTATGCACAATAATATTGTTCTTGAATAAATCTGGCCTTATCCCTACAAGCACTGAGTGAATTTTGTTCACTTTTCAGGTGCAAGAAAAACATGAATATTCTGGTCCTCTCGCTAGTGCCAAAGTTCACAAAACTTCGTGTTCTGATACTGAGGCAAGACACACCTCAACTGCAAGATGACGCAATAGAAAAAATCGCGGCTCATTGCCATGACCTTCAAGAATTGGATCTCAGTAAAAGCTTTCGGCTTACTGATCGATCTTTATATGCATTGGCACGTGGTTGCCAGGATCTCGTGAAGCTCAATATTAGCGGTTGTACTGCATTTAGTGATACTGCCGTGGGTTATTTGACTGGTTTCTGTCGAAATTTAAAATTCTTGAATCTCTGTAGCTGTGTGAGGGCAGCTACCGATAGAGCATTGAAGGTTACATAAAGCTGCAAGCTTTTCGTATCTTTTAAGGAATTATTAAAGAAAAAAAAAAACCCACTTTTTTATGTTTGAGTTAAACAAGAAAATTAATTTAATGCAGGCAATTGGGTACAACTGTAGTAAGCTCCAGTCGTTGAACCTCGGGTGGTGTGACCGTGTTGGAGACGAAGGTGTTAAGAGCTTAGCCTATGGCTGCCCTGATCTTCGAGCTCTCGATTTATGTGGTTGTGTTCTTATTACAGGTATCTTGTATCTCAGGCTTAGTTTGATGTACCAATGTTTGAAAGTGTGCACTGAGCAATAAAAGTAGCCTTTTTGTGATTGTAACTGAATTGCATCCAAGCATTTTATCTTTCTTCTCTTTAACAATTGGGCAAAAATGCAATTTTAGTCCTATTGGTTTAACTTTAGTTCCAAGGTTTCGACTTTTCGCCTTTTAGTTCAGTAACTTAATATTTTGCCGATGAATTTGGGAATTTGTTGCAATTTCAGTCCTTGAGTACTAAAATTGCAGAAAAATATTAAATTGTTGGACCCAGAGGAGAAATGCTGGAACCTTGAGAATAAAATTGCTATGGTCAGGACGAATTACGCAATTTTGGGCTAATTTTGTGGGCACTCGACCTATTTATTTGATTTTTTTCATCTTTTTTAGACGAGAGCGTGATTGCATTGGCGAACAACTGCCACCACTTGCGGTCGCTCGGCCTCTACTACTGTCAGAACATAACCGACCGGGCCATGTACTCTCTGGCCCACAGCCCGATGAAGAACAACAAGCATCGGGTTTGGGCCTCGGTTAACCGGGCCAGGTGTGAAGATGATGGCCTCACGAACCTCAACATCAGCCAGTGCACGGCCCTGACGCCGCCAGCTGTCCAGGCGGTGTGCGACTCGTTTCCGGCACTCCACACGTGCCCGGGCCGCCACTCACTCATCATCAGCGGCTGCTTGAACTTGACGTCTGTCCACTGCGCGTGCGCAGTCCAGGCCCACCGTTCGCCTGCAGCCATGCCTCGACTAGCCCACTAAGGCCCGATAGCATGTCGATTTTCGAGAGGGAATGTGAGTTGAGGGACTTTGTGTATGTATATAGGGTTGAAGTTTTTTTTTTTTTCCTTAATTGCTTGTTTTCTAATGGGACTTTTTATGTTGATTATATGAATTAAAAGTCTGATATTTTAAATAAAATTGTTTAATAACTAATATAGTTATTTTGGTATATGATCCTTAGTTTATCATTCCTTTATATAAAAAATGGAATAACAAGAAGAGAATTGTTAAGCTTAAAACTATAATTTGTATTGATTTTTGATATCCTTTATATATAAAATGGAATAACAATAAGAGAATTGTTAAGCTTAAAACTATAAATTTATTACAAAAAAATACTATTAAAATATTAATAAATTAAATTTGGTTCAACCAATAAATCATTTAATAAATAACTTGATTGGTTCGTAAAATTTGGTTCAACCAATAGATCATTTAATAAATAACTTGATTGGTTCAATGATTGTTTGATTAAGAGAACTTTGTTTACCATACACTAATAAAAATTTTAATACAATATTATTTTGTTCACAATATATTAATAAAATGTATAAATATCCATAAATTATTGGACGTGTAGTCATAAAAATATTTTTAATATGATTATTTGGAGTTTGGAGTCTACAACACATTTATCGTAATAATATATTTTTAATATTAAAATTTATATTTAGTTTCAATAATTGAGTTGGGCTGGCCAAACTGACACACAACTTAGTCAACTAGGATCAACTCTAATTGTGTTATTTTTTGTTTTTTATTTTACCATTTTAAGTGTCACTTAAAAGTCATTATATCAACATGGGAATAACCTAAATCAATCATCCGATCGATACAAAGAAATTTTTCATATTTTCTTTAAATATAATTAATTTTATAAATACAAAATATTTTATAATTTATGTAGTAAATGTGTACAATAAATAATAGTATATTAAGATTATAAATTATATATATATATATATATATATGAAGATAAATTAATTCTTTCTTACTCACATATAAAATAATTTTTAAAAATTAAAAATCAATTGATTGATGATGCAATTGACACGACGACGCGATACCAACATGTGTTACTACACAACATGGATATTTTACATAACACTTGATATTCTTGTTGTATGTAGTTATTAAATATCATAAACGGATGATGTTATAACAAAAAAGTGTTTTGAAAAAAATAATATTCTTATATATATAACCTAAGACAAATTATTATTATTATATATTTAAACAATTATTTATGATTCAATTTTAGTAAAAAATATTTTTTTATGCTTTTATTAGACTAAACATGAAAATATACAATGCTAAAAAGGAAAAAAAATCTACAGAATAATTACACATACTATTTCAAGTAAATATCAAATATTTTTATAAATAGATAGACTTTAAAAAATATATTTTAAACAAAAAAGATCGTCATTACTACACATTTTCTTATAAATTAAAGTTAACAATTTTATTTGCTCACATAGTTTGAACCAACAATCATAATTTTATAATTTTCCTATCAAGGAACCCTTTATTATCACCTTTTCATCTCACATCAATTCAAATTTTAAAATAATTCATTCTTTTTACCAAATCTTTTTTGACTAAACTCTAAAGACATTTTTTTTAAAATAAAAAAAAAAAAATTGAAGCATGTCAATTCAAATCCAAACAAATTGGAGAGAAAGAAAAGTCTGAAAAAGGCATTTAATAATAAATATATAATGCTTCTTTTTGGGAAATAAAAACCAAAAATTGGTCTAAATTCAATTCGTGCACATAAGAACCATTTGATCAGATTTTGCATTCTCAAAATCTCCACATTATGCCGATCACCTGATAATCTCTGGATCATGTACTATCATTCTACTTTGTTTAAAAATGTAACAAAATTATGATTGTATTCATGTTCCAATTCACCACATTTTATAAATACAGTTTAAAGTCTCAATTATCTCCATGAATAAGATTATCAACTATCATAATCTCACAAAGGCAAAAAGATCAGAACACAATAATTAGATATAGCAATACTTACTATATTTCACAAAAATAATAATGTCACATGCCAATTACCATTCAAAAAATTTTTGCCTCAACAAAATCTAATTCAAAATTTTCTCCACCTATAAATAGGACTTTAGAGCATTATTAAAAAGAAAAAGGAAAAAGAAAAAAAAAAAAGAAAGATGGAGGGACAAATTGTGCAAGAAACTATAGTCCTAATTGTTGGTGCAGGGCCTGCTGGTATAGCAACCTCAGCATGTCTAAACTTACAAAACATACCAAATATTGTCTTAGAAAAAGAAGATTGTTGTGCCTCTCTTTGGAAAAAGAAAGCCTATGATAGATTGAAACTTCATTTAGCTAAGCAATTTTGTGAGTTGCCAAACATGCCTTTCCCCTCAAATGCACCCACATATTTACCAAAACATGATTTCATTCAATACTTAGATGAATATGCTTCCCATTTCAATGTCACACCATTATACCACCGTCGCGTGTCGTGTGCCTCGTTTGGCGACCAAAATTGGCTTGTCGTGACGGAAAATACCCAATCGGCCATGACCGAGAGCTACTCAGCCAAATTTCTAGTCGTGGCGACTGGCGAAAACAGTGAGGGCTATATACCTCCGCTTTCGGGATTGGGCTCGTTTAATGGTGAGACGATTCACGCGAGTTTGTATGATAACGGGAGTAGGTTTTGTGACAAGGATGTTTTGGTCGTCGGGAGTGGAAATTCCGGCATGGAAATAGCTTTTGATCTATCCAATTGCGGTTCTCGTGCTTCTATAGTCGTTCGTAGTCCGGTAAGTGCTACGCATTTTGATAGTACTCGATTTAACATATATAATGCTATCAAATTAAATGAGTCTGGCTCGACTCAACTCGTTAAGGCTCGAGTTCGGCCCGACTCATTTAAAGCTCGTTTGGTTAACGATCCGAGCTCAGCTCGACTCGATGGGACTCGGTAAGGCTCGAAAAGATAATTTTGATATAATTTTCTATAATTCGGCTAGTTAAAACTCGAGATTGGCTCGAACTCGACTTGTTATTTGTGATAAACGAGCCGAGCTTGAGTTCGATTTTAGGCTCGTTTACAGGCCTAATTTTATAACTATTAGTTGAAAAACAATTTTGACACAGACTGGTAAAATTGAACTATTTCAGGTGCACTTTTTGGCCAATTGGATGGTGAAGTTAGGGATGGAAATGTTAACGTTTCTATCTATAGATGTTGTGGATAAAATTGTGCTAATGTTGAGCAAAATTAAATATGGAGATCTTAATAATTATGGTATCCAAAGGCCTAGCAAAGGACCGTTTTATCTAAAAGTGGCAACTGGCCGGTCGCCCGTTATTGACGTCGGGACAATTGGGAAAATTCAAGAACAAGAAATTAAGGTAATTAATTTTCGTTCTCATCAAACACTATTGCCATTTATTGAAAATTTGTAAATTGTTCATTTTTGTTGAGCATTTATTTGATCAATAGTGAATATGTATCCGTACGTACTTGTGTACATTTAAATTAAGGTAATTAATTTTTGTTCTCATCAAACACTATATATTGCCATTTATTAAAAATTTGTAAATTGTTCATTTTTGGTTATTTGATCAATAGTGAATGTGTATCCGTATGTACTTGTGTACATTTGTTTTTTGTTGCCTTATATAAATGGCTTAGGTTCTTCCGAGTATTGAGAAGGTGAATGGAGATAATGTTCGCTTTGCGAATGGCGACACGAAGCGTTTTGACGCCATTGTTTTCGCCACCGGATACAAAAGCACGGTTTGTGAATGGCTTAAGGTGAAATTCATTGGAGTTTTTCGAGTTTAAGATTGGTTTTCGAATCTTACGTGTCAGTCTTCAATTATTTATAAGTCGTAAATCTTATTTTTGTATATGGTATTTCGAAATAATTTATGAGTCAAAATTTTCAAATAAAAAGCTCTACTTTTATTTTTCAAAATTTTTAATTATTTATTCGAATTCTAATTTCCCATTTTTCGTTCAGGACGATGGTGCACTCTTTGGCGAAAATGGAATGCCTAAAATGGAAAACTCAAAACTTCGAAAAGGAGAAAACGGTCTTTACTGCGCGGGATTTGGAAGGGCGGGTCTCATTGGGATTTCAAATGATGCAAAAGCTATATCGCACGACATAGTCGTGATATTAAACCAAGAATCGAGCTTGTTCAACAGCACTTGAATAAGATGAGAGAATTTATGAGCGTGAAAGTTTATTTAATATTTGGGATTTGGTAGTTATTTCGAAATAGAATTTCAAAGTCGTGCATTAAATTATTTCTTCAAAATTCTGTTTTGGAGAAGTAACAAAAAAAATCATTTGATTGATAGTTAAGCACTTAATATTCATGTAATAATTGTCATCTACATTTAAGATGAATAAATAAGTTCCTCCATTTAAGTATTAATGTTTTTTTATTTTCATTTATATAGTTTCCTTCGTCACATTTTTGTCAAGTATGAGCATTGATATTTCACATTTGTGCTTCTGCAATGGGTTAAACTCAAAGCCCACTATTCAAATATATTAGACCAAATATACATTAATACAAAGAAACAACTAAATATCACTACTACATGGGTATATATAATTGTGATATATATTTTTTCTCTACTTATTTATTTACACATAACTACAATATAATATATGTTGTTTCTTTATTCACATATGATTNCGTTTTCCACCTTTTCCTCCACTTCTTGAAACTAAAACAAATGAAATAAACGTGCTAATTAGCATTACTTTATCAACTTATATATTTACACACACCAAATAATCTATTTTCCAATTTTTTTTTTTTTGCCTCATTTAATGTTCACTAATAATGAATTAGTACTTTACAAAACATACTAGTATTCGACCTGTGCATTTGCACAGTGTAAATAGAATATTATAAGTTATATTTATGCTAGTACTAAAATTATAAGTTACACAATGATATTATATTTTAAACATAGAGTATTATAAGTTATATTTATGCATATAATAATAAAAATATAAATAAGATAATGATATTATGTTTTAAAATTTGATCATTAGTTAAAATAAAATAAATAGTACATAACTATTTGATTGCATATGAACCACTATATTAATTACATAAAATATAATAAATAATGTAATTTTGAGAGATCACCAATTTATTAGCTTAAAAAAATTAAATTTATTATAACATTTGATTATGCGATTTTAAGAAATTTTAATATAACATTAAAATAAATTAACTTATTTAAAAATACAATCACTAAATAAGATAAAAAAAAATATAATATTAATTTTAGAATAAATAACTGTAGCAAAAAGTTTACAATATATTTTTTTATGTTTATGTAATTTTCATTTATCATTTAGTGTAAACTATAATTATTAGTTTTAATAACAACTATTATATGATATAATAAAATAATATAATTATTACTCCATTAATATAAAATATAACGATTTTATTTTAATTAACCATAAAAAGTGCAATGAAATATTTTAGCATTAATTAGATATGATGGATTAATAATAATAATAGAAGATTGTAACATAAAAAGATGGTAAACAATAATTAATATTGATAAATTTATTGTTGGCAATTAAATATAGAGAGAGATATAAATGATAAAGTTTGTAACTGTTTTTGGAGGGAAAACGAAATAATTTTTATTAAATGTTTTATTAAATGCTATTAGCCAACAATTATATATACTAGTTTTTGTCCCGTGCATTTGCACGGAAAACTATATGATACATGAAAAAATAATAAAAATTATAAACAATAGTAAATATCATAACAAATTCATTGAAAAAAATTAAGAACAAAATTATAAATATTCTTAAAAACTTCTTTATAAAACAACGTCGTGGTTTTTTTATCGTCAAAATCTTCCTCAGCTCAAATCAAAATCTTCAAACCCCACTGACTCGTAACTCTAAAAAGCACCACGTATAGTTGCTCATGACTAAATGCAGAGCTCTTCAGTAGTAAGCCGACGTGCGACAGAGACTGTCTTTGACTCTTATTGATCATGTCATAGCATAGGAAACACTTCTTTATATTGTTTGTCCTCGACTCTTATTGATTGATAGAGATTGTCCTTGCTTCTTAATAAAAAAAATACCATATAAATATAAATGAGTAAATATAATAATAATTTTTTATATAAACAAAAAATTTAAAGTAATTGATAATGAGTATAGAATTACCCTTGCGGATTCAAGTTATTTCAACGATGTTCTTTTTATATATCTAAGATTTAATTTTTTTTCTGATTTATATGAATATAAGCACATTTGACTAATTTTTATAAAATTTATTGAAAAAAGTTACTATTTTTTTTAAAAACTGATAAGATATTAAGATAATACTGTACTTAACATAAATGTGGGATTAATTAAAATAAATCTTTTTAATTTAGTTATTAACTAATTAAATTTAACTATAAAAAACCTTCTTAAATGTGAGATTAATGAGTAATTAATTAAAAAAAATGTAACTCCTTTTGGAGGGAAAGTGAAAATATTTTTATTAAATGTTTTATTAAATGAGATTAGCTAGCAATTATATATATATAGATATAGATTATAAACAGAAATTATATGATTGGTGATAATATAAATAAGCATTTACATAAAAAAAACTGTGATAATTAATTAATCATATTCCTAATCTACATTTAACTCAATACTTTGTTACACACAAAAAAATTAATCGAATATCGAGCTTCAAATATGCATGTGAAAATGAACATTATTTGTGTCTTCATTTTCACTTTTGCATATTTTTATTCTAAAAAGTCAATTACTTGACCAAATCAATTTTCATATTTGGCTAAATGCATGTTGACTAGCTCATCTTCTAATTAATTCACTAATTAATCAAGCCTAACATAATACCAAGTCTAACTTAATTTCTAAGAGCATCATACATTTTACTCATGCAACCATAAAAAATTAGTTAATTAAGACATATGATTTAAAATCTAATCAATAATTACCTTGTCAATAGCATTTCCAATCATTTGAGCATCTTTGGCTGTTTTTTCGGCCACATGCTCCACAATATCCACCACTTTCCTTAGTTTTCCGGCCTCCGGCAGCCCTTCCGACACGTTCTCCGCCACCTTGTCCACCACCTCCGCCACTTTTTCGACTAATTCGACTATTTCTTCTGCTGTCTCGACCATTGAATCAACGTCCCCTATAAAATTAATCAAGACCAACCAAAAAAAAAAAGGACATAATTCTTTTAGCAAATTATAATTGAATTAATACGAATTTCGATTTGGCAAATGATAAATTATATGGCGAACCATAATCACAAATTTACGTTTAAATTCGAGTAGCGGGCCCCCTTTGTTGCCAGCGAAGGGTAAAGTAATTGCTAGCATTGTTCCTAATATCCATCTCCTGAATAATTAGTATAAAATAAAATTTCAGAACTAAATATATCTATCATATAATCTGAAAAAAAGAAAAAAAATTATAGAGATGCTTACAATGAAGAAGATGGAGGTTGAGAAGGCAATGGAGGACCTTGTTGACCTTTGCCATAGAAAGAAAAATTTCTGAAGGAAAAGAACAAATAGATTAACTAATAATGTAAATTAAGATAGCAAAAAATTATTAGGAATATTGTATTTGTACCTCACCTTTTATGTGTGTTGCCGAACGAGCCATATCCCAAGCTTTGAGTCGTACGGATTTGTCGACCATTCGAAGAAAAAAATCGAGCCGTATGGTATCGACTACACAATTTCGCGATCATAGTCATCGACATAAAATGTTACGAATCAGGATATTTGTGCTTGTTACTATTCAGATATATGTATGTATGTGANAGGTATATAGTAGCAATAAATGAATTTGTGCAAGTATAGATGGACTTTTCAATGAAGGAAAATATGTGTTAATGTGTTGGATGAGTGTATGAAAAGTAAAAACAAAAGGCTGCATCTTTATATTTAAGATGGAAATTTAAGAGATATGAAGGAGTTAATGAATTTTCCAGGAAATGCAATGTGTTTGTAATTGGTGACACGCTAAGGAGATTATGCGTTTGAAAAATTCCGTTATATTAGGTACAATTGATCTAAATTTGACCTAATTGGATTAAATATGAGTTTAAACAAATTTGGCCTAATGGTAAATTCAACCGAATTAGAAATTGAAGATCAAGTTAATATGTCCATCGGACGGCTGGAGAGTAGCATACTAAACACGATAACGAGATCTCGACACGTAATTAATGGATATATCTTAGTTTTCACGCCGACTTTCGATTTATTTTATTATTGCATATACTTACCAACTATATTAAATATAAAAACGTTAGTGGTTTACTTATTATATATGTGTTTGTGTATTTTTTTTTTCTTTTTTTTTTTTGTTTTTCCTTTGTTGTAATATTCAACTTGATAAAATTGTTGGCCTTGTTTAAGCATATCATCTTTAGCCACCACGACAGAAAATTCAACCGATATCATCAGCAGCAAATACTTATTATTATTAAATTTATTGTATTGTATTGTATATATCATTGTTACATAATGAATTTATAATTATTCAAACACATGAGTGTGTTTCTACAAAAGATGAATGGAGAATATATCTAACAAGTCCATGGTCAAGTAGAATACTTTGAATTTTTTTTAGAAAATATAACGATCACGCTAGCTGGTTTGTTTTTCTTTATTTAGAAACAAAAGTAAAACAAATAATAATAATGTACTAGGAACGTTAAAATGTGCACATTCAAATTTTTGTAATATTTCACCTACATATTCAATGTCTTTAAAATCAATAAGTGGGCATAATTAATAACTCGTATTTACCGTGAGCAGAGTGTACGACTTATTGTATAAACTTTCTTGAGGAATTTTCTAGAAAATTTTTTTTTTGACAAAAAGCTAAATATAAGAGCATTCCCAATAATAGATAGTTAGATAAAAAAACATCTTGGTTTAAAAATTCAAGAATCTCATTTCATTCTCAATATGCACTTATATGTTAATCGCAACCAAATATTAGACCATGAGTATTATATAGTGAAAATAATTAATTTAAATAATGGTCTATAGCCCTTATTCTTTTTCTTAAAAAAATAAATTGGTCGACAACTCAATTACTTCTACTATTTTAAGTGGCATGTGGAATCAAAATCTGTCACCAGTCAAGAAACAAAAATATGACTAAAAACTAAATAAGAATATATATACGGATTTTTTTACGGGCGGCTCATCGTACAATTTTCCAAGTTGCATTATTTGGCCAAACTTAGCCGCCGCATAATATTCAAAGATTCCATGAGCCGGCTTCATTTTTTTTTTTAAGCTGTTAAGTTTATATCTTTATTAAGCTAACACTAGTGCTTTGAGAGTTATTAAGAATGTCGCTTGATTACGTTANTTGGTTGTGCATGTTTCAGTCGATGCTTTGTGTACACTAAAACTCCATAAATTGATTAATAGACGAACATTTTCTTCAAAGATGAATAAATAAGACGACTATAGAGCTATATTAAATAGTAACATCCATATATATGTGATTGAAAATAATGAAAAAGAAAAAATCTTGTACATCATCTTAGTACTCATGGTACTATATACATTTCAAAATTTCAATCAATCTAATTTTCTTCTTTGAGTGTCTCATGTGATCCATCTTTCTCTTGATGATCTTTGTGATGCTTATCAATATGGGTAATATTATGGCTAATTGCATGCTGATCATCACCCAATGATTCAACATAATCCTCCACTTTTTCCTCTACCTCTTGAACCTGCATTAATTTAATCCAAATTAGAAAAAATAATAATAATAATAATAATAATAACTCTCAAAATTGTTTTCAATGATGTGGAACGTATTTCGCTCGTCAGAAATTTCGTTTGTACTAGTATCACGTTATGAAAAATCAATATTTATCCCAACCAAGTCTATAGATCACGGTGGTTCTTCTTGAATTAAACCCAAATTAGGAAAAACCTTTTGTCTTTTACATTTGAAATTTGTGATGCATGTTATATTTCCCATTCTATGTATAGTTAATCAAGTAAAACTAAACTAGGGTATTGTTGTAGCAATTAAGTACCTTGTCGATAAATTCTCCGACTAAATGAGCGTCCCTATTCGCTCTCTCGGCCACATGCTCGACAAAATCGACCGCTTTCCTAAACGACCCGCCTGCCGGAAGGTCATCGGAAATGTCCTCCGCCACTTTCTCCACCTCTCCGGCCACCTTCTCGACCACCTCGACTATTTCCTCCACCGTCTCCACGGCGGTTTCGACTTCATCTTTACACAACCAATAGTAAAGACATGCATGAGTTAGAAAAGTCAAATCAAATAATTAGATATGTTTAGTCCATGATTAACCCAAGAAGAAATTATGGAACAAAAAAATTAAGAAATGAAGACAATTAATATAGATATGTACACAAACTTACTTTTGAGTTTGAGAAGTGATGCCCATTTGTGGGTAATGAAGGGTAGANAAAAAGACAAATTTTTTTTTTTTCACTAGTTAGGAATAACTAAATAATTGAAGAAATTTATAAATTTCTACGCAATCATAATTTTTTTTTATTATTATTATCAAAAGTGGATACTTATAGTTGAGGTGGTCGGGAATTTGATGAAAATTTACTAACTGTCTAACCATTAATCAGCCTAACAAGAACATTACTTTATATAACTCGACTTACATGAAGTTGAAAGGAGGCTCTGTAGGAGGCGGGGCTCCGGGCTGAACAATACTCCGTACAAGAACTCTTCTGAAAAATTAAGCAAAAAATTCAAATATTCATGTGGATGATACAAAAAATAAATTAAAATTATAGTCAAATATTGTCTAAGACTTGAAATCATAACTTGCATATATTACCTTTTATCCTTGTTCTCTTTCACTCTTATACTACCATTATGAAAAGACATGAAATTCGAAGAATAACATGAGAAAACTCGAGTCCTATGAGCGCACGAGGGGTCGAAAACGAGCCCCGGTGAAAAACCACATGTAATAACAGATTTGGTAATAGACATGAATTTTTGTTTACACGAAAAGGTGTACAAATTTATAAAAAAAAAAATACGAGAATTTCCTTTTTCATTGGAAGAAAGATGAATAAGGTTTACAAGTTAACAGTTATCTGCTTATTCATTGAAGATTATGTACATTTTATAGGCAGAAAAAAAAAAATTAAATAAAAAATCTAAGACACGCTTCTTTGTTCAACATTTTCTTGTCCTCCTTGCTACGAGTTGACTTTTCAAATTTAAAACGAGTTTCCATATGTTTTGGTCAATTTCTCTATAGCTTTTTTTTTCTTTTTTTCCGGTACAATTTCTCTATATTTTAGATTGTAATGTTTGTGGAATTTATCCGAGTTGGACATATATAGATTATTTCGTGTTAACTTCACGTATTCAGCTGACTTGTATGTTAAACAAATTATTCTGAATTGGCTTTGATTCGTCGAACTGCTATATGATGTCACATCAATTATGAAATTTCTTTACCTTAGACCGTGTTTAGTAACAATAAAACGTAATTATTATTAAATTTTTTTCTTCTTTTTTCTTTCATAAAAAACATTTTTTTTCCTTATATTTTGTTTTTGGGATAAATTAACCAATAGCGGATAACCCACCAATCCGGGGCCCAGCTCGTTCCCATTCCATTCCGAAGAGAGAGAACACGAGAAAAGCTACAACCATTCAGTAATGAAGGTCTTTTGGGTTCAAAGAGCCCATATGTTTAAGCCCAATTAAAGTTGATTTATAACCCAAATATTAAATTTGTCGGCCTAGACACACAAATGGGCCTACCAAAGCATTAAGAGATATATATTTATATCCATTACTATAATTTTTATAATTACCTATTTGTTGTTCACGTATATGATATCGAGTCATTGATTGTATAAAAATATTCATATGAGGTGGTTTTTCTGTATATTGCATTTAATAATTTTAATTAGACGCTTATAATGCATTTACTATTATTTGTTCTATATTAGACATTATTTTGAAAATTAAAATTGATGTTTGACCTTAATTTGGTTCCTTTTACGTTCTAATCTCATGTGTTAGGAAAAAAAAAAAAATGATCATCGTGTACACAATACCAGATTACGAGTCTGGTTTCATCTCACTAAATGGATATTGGGATCGGAAATCAAAATGATCAATTAATCCATTCAACTTTAGATAACTCCAAATATTATGTTGTGAAGCGGTCGTAATTTTTTGATTCTTTAGATTCTCTTATATTATGTTGTGAAGCGGTCGTAATTTTGATTATATATCATATATCGATCATGTATAATATGTTAATTTTACATGTATCCATAAGAGAAGAAGATTGTATTATCACAAGATTATATATAAGAATCCAATACATAATTGGATCGGACAAGAAAATAAGATAGTAGACAACTTCAAGAACGAATAAAATTTCACTGAGGGTCTACATATATATACATATATATATTTCAATGTTTAGCAAAATTAAACTCTAACCATAATGACAAACTATCACACAACACAATTCTTTTATGGCATGATTGGTAGGAAGGAATGACATGAGAATGGAATAATCAGTTCCTTACTCATTCCTTAAACTATGCTTGGTATATTTTTTGGAAAGGAATGACCATTCCAATGGGAATGACGCGCAAAACCCATTTCCATGGGATTAGTCATTCCATAATAAATAGAATGTTTTCTCATTCTCATTTGTGTAGGAATCAATTTTTCAAAAAATAAAATTAAAAAATAATAATAAAAAATAAATATAATATACATATATATATTATAAATCATGATTAAAATAAATTAAATAAATTTATTATTAAAAAAAATTAAATAAAAAAATTGAAAACTTACTTTTATTTATTTTTTAATTAGATATATTAAATACTTATATAAAAATAAAACTAAAAAAAATATTTATATATAATTTAAAAATATATTATTTTATTTTTATATATTATTAAAAATATATTATTTTTATATATATTTTTTTTATATTATTAAAAAATATATTATTTTATTTTTATATATTATTAAAAAAGCATTTATATAAAATTTATTAAAAGTATACTATTTTTTAAGAAAAGCTTTTATTTATTATATAATTAAAAATAATAATGTCATTTCATTTAAGTCCAATTCCTTCTGCATACTAACCGCATCAATGACAAAACTTGTTTTATTCCATTCATATATATAATCATTCTATTCCTCAATTCATTCTATTCCTACGAAATTTTATTCCATTATACCAATCATGCCAAGAGTTTGCCCTACACTAGATCTCAACATCACACATATATACATGCAAACAAACAACACAATATATAATAATCCCATCTATATATTATCATCACCACCATAATTTCTTACAAATTAACAAACCCTAGACAAAAATCGAAGATCGAATAACTGTAAAAAAACAACTCCCACATACACTAATTTATCGATCAAGAAGATGTTCCCACACCAAGAAAGTCTATAAAGGGAACATTTTTCGTTCGAACCGATTCCTCTCCTCGCCCTTCTTTCCCGAAATTGAACGAATTTTGTTCCGAGCCTCTCGATTCTCCCTTCATCATCCCACATTCCATATAACTAAATGCATCCAAATACTTGTAGCCACTAAATACTTGTACTTGTGGCCCGTTTTTTCTCGATCCGTGTAATAAATCGTTAGAGTAATTATAATTAGCCGAAAAATCGCACGGCCACATTCTATCCTTGCTTTGACTTTCTAAATCGGGAAAACCGTCGTTCCTGAAATTGATCTTTGAGCCATGGAAGTCTTCGTTGTTGACGAGCCTCGAGTGTTTTCGTCGGAAAACGTAATTAGTGGGAGAATTATTAGAGTAATGATCACTATTAATGGTATTCCTTTTGCCACAAATGAGCTTGGATTTTTTTTCCCTTTGTTTTCTAGCCATTATTACATGCCAATGGTTTTTGACAGCATTGTCAGTTCTACCTGGGAAAAGCCTTGAAATGAGAGCCCATTTGTTTCCATGTAAGCTGTGAGCTGCAAGAAGCTTTTCCTCTTCAACTTCTGAGAATGGCTTTCGGTTTATTCTTGGGTCAAGTTGATTGAACCATCTCAATCTGCAACTCTTACCTATAAATATATATAATTAATTAAATCTTATCAAAATTTCATTACATTAAATAACTAGGTATATATTTAGTAATGGATTACTAATATAACTAGTTGGAAAGCAAAAAAGGTAATAGCCAAACCTAATCAAAATGAAGAGAAAAAATATATTTTTTTCTTTGGTTTCATTAATATATTATAATTTTTATTCAATATAGTCATGTAATCTAATGGTAAATAAAGGTATTTATCATTAATTTATTTATAAAAAAACAGACGTAATAACGTGTTATGATTCTTATGAATCTTGAATTCTTTTGGATGGTTTATATAAATCCAATAATTTCTTGGTTCTTGAATAGATCTTTCGAAAAATATAGAATGAACGACATTATAATTTTATATATGATCATAGATGCAAACTTAATTTAATTAGAATACACAAAAGGCTAAAATCAATTAAGAGAGCAAGGGTTGTTGAATCTAATATAGTAATATATTATCAATAGGGAAACTATAACCCTAATCATGAAATATATACATCAGAAGAATATCAATTGAAAAAAAAAAACTAATAATCAAGAACTTCAAGATATATATATAGCCATATGTAGGGTTTAATAATTTTACATACAAACACACACACACACACCTGATCTTCCTTGAAGATTTTCAGCTATAGAATTCCAGTTTTGAGGGCCAAATTGCTCGACAAGTTGCCGGAGTTTCTCATCCTCGGCCGGCCGCCAGTGGCCTCGAGGACAAGCCGCCGCCTTACTTATAATCCGAGCACCGCTAGACCCACCGCACGTTGTTTGATCATCCATATTTAATTTGAAGTCTGAAAAAAAAAAAATCTCAACCGTCCAATTGAAGTTTCCAGGGTTTATCCATATGTGTGATGAAACTAAGGAAGGAAAAAGAAAAATGAGGAAAAGTCGATACTTATAATAGACTTCTTAACACACACAGAAATTAACTAAATTCTATATTATTCTATTTGATTTGCTAATGGCCCATGTCAACAGTAAATTCAAAAGTTGTTGTTTACTTGTGTGAAAAAAAAAAATATTTTCAGTAGTTAAATTTCCATTTTTCTATGCTTGCAATTATCATTTTGGAATGCTGATTGTTAATTAATGTAGTAAGACTACTACTGTTGGGCAGGCGTAATCGTAATTTTTAAAGANAAGAGAATTAACAAGGAGAAAAAAAAAAAGACTAATAATAGCCCTATAATATATAAAGGAAAAATGGGCTATTTTTATCAAGAAAATTTCTTTTCTTGTTTAGTTAACAATGATTGGTTTTTCAAGAAAAGGGGATATAAAGCTTTTTGTTCTATTATGCAGATTAAGGTTGGTAATCTCTCTATTTGAATGTATTTAGACTTGACAAACAAGTTTGATAGTGCATGATTGATTAATAATGCCTCCAGTGCACCTTTAACAAGACTGATAACTGGTTTATGTGTTACCTAATTGCATATCTAATTTAATTTCTAAAAATGGAAAATTAATGCAGTCTTAGTATAATAACTTTTGCCATTATCCAATTTCATTCATTAAATTTTAGGTCATGTTACACTAACTTTTAATTTTGTGTCATCTTCGTCTGAATAATTTTTTGTCCCCTTCAATTGGATACAATAAATTTAAATTATGTGTGATTTTTAGTCAACCTCTTGTTAAAATAGTGAATGAACTCTTTTTGTTCGTCATCTCTATATTTTCAAAATCTCTTCATTTATTTAATATCTTATGTTTGTATCAGCGGAATATGAATTTAAAGTTTCAGCCGTTTTCTTGGATGGAAATAATAAAAATTTAAAAAATTATTATACTAATTAATTTAAACCACCGAAAATTGGCAAACTATAATTAAAGATTACTCTAAAAGAAATTAATAATGTTACATGTGCCGTGAAAATTTATTAATAAGGTAGATTGAAACTCACCTTTTTCGATCATTCACTTTTCGTACTATTAATTTGGTCCCCTAAAATTTCAATAGATCTAACTAATCAATCAATAAATTCATTATTAAGTCTTTTCTTCTGGACTTAATACGAACTAATTAATAACAAATATCATCTGAGCAATTCAAGATGTAAAACAATCTAAAAATTTAAATTCGGTGCTTGCAAAAGTAGATTTTATATTACATTCCATGCTGATGATTATTTACTGTAATGCAATGTATAAATAATTTACTTTCTTAACTGACTAATTATTCTGTACACACAAAATTAAGCACGTCTAAAATAGTTTAGCCATTCACATCGAAATTTGTCAAAGCACACAAGGCATGTATATATTTATCTTCAGTGGTGGGTGTAAAATCAGTATCTATAAAAATCTGAATTAGATTATATATCAGGCTGTGGTGGTATGTCTTTACCATCACAAATATGTAGACATTCTACTCTAAATCTCTAATCAAGTAGAAGTGTTCTAATCACTCCAAACAAAACACTAGCTTTCTGTTTCGCTGTTTGCGGATAGCGGATAATTGATTGTATCGACGAATTTTAATAGTTTATTTGACTAACAGATTGTTATCGGTAATTTGTAAATGAACATTGACAAACAGCAATTTGTATTGATGTCTTAGAAACCTTATGGTTTGGTAGCATGTTATTTGATGAATTCTTCTTGAGATTTTTTTTTTTTTTAGAATTAGTGTTTNATTATCATTTTGGGTAAAAAAAACTAATCAAATATACTAGTTAACAAACAGTTAGTTAGCATATTTGAGTGATCAAACTTCTAAAAGGTCGAATCCATTAATAAACAATAAACGAATCAAAAATAACATATGTCCAAATAGAGCTGACAAATTAAACACCATTATGTGCGTATACATCTCGTATAGATTAGATGAAGAGAGTTTGGAATTGAAATAAATCAAGACAAAATAGTTAACTTTGCAAAAATAAAATAAGGATAATATATAGCTGATGATCCAAGCGTCTTTGTGATGAAAACAATAATATACCTTTTTTTAAGTATCTCATCTTTTCAAGAAATCCACATTAGCAACATATCAACGAACATTGATTAAGCCTCCATAAACAAACTTTGACCTAACCCTCCACCATATTCATTTCTTGAATTAATCATTATAATTTCTTAATTATAATTCATATTTTATACCTAAAAAAAAATAAAAATAACGATTTATATAAAAGTATGTCGTTTCACATTATAACTTATAAACATGTATTTTTTCCACACAGTACAATATATCAATCGTTTTAACAATTAAAATTGTCTAACATCGTTTGTGAATCAAAACCCACAATAAATTATAAGAGATTAATTTCATGCAAACTTTGTGATGCAAATTGGCAGGTAACAAAATTTAATCTCAATCAAGATCAAATCAAATTTGCCAGCACAAAAAGGTGACGTGTTGAACCATTAAGAAATTTAATTAAACAAATATATAATAAGTACCAAATGAAGTAACCCATAAGAATGTGTGTTCAATAGAATAGACATTTCTTGTTGAAATTTAGTTAATACCAAACCTTATTTTATCTCCAATAAATTAGTGTTTGATTGCTCCGTGTCCAAGTACAGTTGATTATAATTTAGTTGGCGGTTTTGAATCTATCATTTCGAGAGATTAGCATTCATTTTCTGTTAGCAGTGCATATTAAATTAATAATTAAAAAAGAAATTGTTACTTGTATAATTAAGGTGAAGTATGAGGAAATAAGATGGTGACACTTTAGCTGAAGGGTTGAGATATATTCCACACAACTATCTAATTATTTATGAATTTTTGGACTATTTGTTTGGGAGAATAAAAGGGAAATTTTATGATTTTTTGTTTATTCATTTATTTTTGTGGCGGTGGTTGTTAGTTTAATTAAGGTGGCAAGAAATAATCAGTTGGCAGCCAGAAAATATTCGAGTAGAAATTCAAGGGCAAATCGAATTTGATATTCTCTTCAGATAATGACATGTTTAAATGTTTGGTGAATTTCGTGTTTCTAGTGAAAATAGTAATACTAATTATAGTGAAAGTTAAAAGATGTTACAATTTCATAATCACTAAAAACTATATAACATTTTTCTGAATTCTTACAAGAATTTCAATCGACAGGTCATAAAAATAAGTTAATAGCTTTGTAATTGTAATTGAGACTAGCAAACTTTTAATACTTGATTATTGAATTAAGTAGAGCTCGGCTCGTTAACTAAATATATAGATAAATGAGATCGAGTTCAATTTATTTTTAATAATTGGAGACGAAATCTTAATCTTAACGAGTTAAGTTAAAGTGAAATTTCATAACTAAAAAATATATTAACTCTATTCTCAAGGGTTAAGTTCGGCTCTAAGTCATTAGAACGAACTTCAACATCACTCAAAGCTCGAGCTTAAAAGAACTTAGTAGAGTTGAACTCACTAGTGATTATTTCATTCAAGTTTAACTACTCTACCTGACGTGAAATAAAAATAATAATTTTAGTGGTAATATTAAATTGCAACTGTTTGCCATCTACAAGACATGGGCCTCGGCCCAATTTGATAAAGCTATGCAAATCATTATCACGAGTAAGGAATAGTTGTTCGATACAGCCCAATTCATGAACTGTGTGGGCTGCAGATTTTTGGAATTAAAAGAATCATTGAGTAATAGGTAGCTTTTTCATTGTCTTTACTCTTTATTATACTGTATTAGTGGTGTGGTGAAGTTGACATTTTGATAAATTTGGCACAACACAGTATAAAGTAGTTAGTTATGAAATTAAAAATATGAAAATAAAATGGTCAACTTTGGAAACTTGTAGGATGTGGTTCAAATGAGAACCAAGTCCTAGCGTGAGAACCGCTATTTTTAATTGTATGTAGTGCTATGATTGATTGTATTTAGTGCTATTTTTAATTAGGATGCATTTTATTAAAAATAGCAACACAATTTATGTTAGCATTTGTAAAAATGATAGCACCATGTAAGATTAAAAATAGCATCATACACAATTAAAAATAACATCAAATATGGTTCTCACGGTTCTTACACCAGAAAAGGTTTTTATTTGGACCACTCTGAACTTGTATTGTGTATGTATTTAATTAAGAACTTGCATATTGCATAGGACTTTAATAGGCCCAAAAAAAGGCAAATCTAATTGGCCCAATTATAGTGGAGATTAATTTGAGACCAAGAAAAAGGGCAAGCCCAATTTAGACCCATTCGGCTCAGAGATATTCATCTCTTCATTGCATATGCATGTGTTGTAGATGCAAGTAGAGTTGTAAAACTTAACTTAATTTGCTAATGAGCCGAACTTAAGCTTGTTTATTGGCTCCGTCGTTAACTTAACTAGCTGAGAGCCTAAGCCCGAGCTCGAACTCGAACTCTGCTCGACTTACCTACAAGGCTCAACCCGAGACAAATATTAAGGATTGGATGTGAAACGCATTCCAAATTAATTAATTTTCTAATTAAGAAAATTGCCTTTTATTTTCTTAAAAAAAGTATAAATAATATTTTCTTCTATTATTTTTAAATGTCATTTTACTTTATCAAATAAATGACGTTTTAGATCTTTCGTACATATATTTTCATTATTATCCTCATTTAGTTAATAAATACATTATTGCCTTTTTATATTCTCTTAAGTTTCACGTTATTAATTTTTATTAAAGAAAGTTATTATTGGCGAAAAAAATTAATTATTGAGCAACTTCTCAAAACGACGCATATTATGAACCGAAGGGAGTATTAACCAAGTCGACAACACCAGAGCCAACACCAGAGCCATTGGGGGCAAATTTAGGTGTGCATTATTTTATGTGCATTATTTTATTTTATTTTTCTTAAAAAAAAAAAATCATGGACCTGGTCTTGAATTCGATCACTGATACTACGTAAATATTTTGACC